CATTATTCTCGCGGTGGCGGGAAACGCAAATCAACCCTGGTTTTCTGTAGATTTCAATGAACGTAAGGGTGTGCTGAAACCTTGAAAACCGTGCGAGGATTACAAAATGTCACGCGACGGTTGATTCAACATGAGCAAGCCTTGCACGGGCAGCGAGAGCGCCGTGACCCAAAAGTACAATGATATTTATTAATACTAATATACTGCTTCCTAGATAATATTTACTTTTTACGCGCCCCGACAACTGCTTTTTCATTGAACACCTGTTGAGGTTACATGTTTGTAGTCGAGCCAGTTTACGTGTGTGACAATCAAAACCGGCACGGCTTTGTAGTAGGAACTCAGTGGGATCTTGTCAAGGTTGCTTGGGATTTGGGACACTATTGATCAGATTGTCTTGGCGCTTGATTTCCATCAGTCATTGCTGCAGAAAGGCCAGTCTGGCCAGCAAGTTTGGAAACTTCATACATCTGTTAAAGGGTAGAGTACATGACATCATGTTTGCCCTTTAGGACCAGACTACCTCACTGTACGACTAGATGCACTGGAAAAACACATGTCTAACTTAATCATTGTTGGGATCATATGGGGTTTGCCGGACCGTCTCACTGTGAGGACTTCATCAAGATGATTGAAGCAGACAAGGTGCATGGAGAATCGTTGGGGTTAGTGGCCGAGCCTTCCGAAACCCAGGTTTTCGCAGATGTTTTGTCTTTCAACAAATCCAAGGAACATTTTTGTTTGTTTCCGTCAAATTCTCAACGCTCCGCAGTTTTGCTCCTTCAAATTCATTATTCCACATGTGTTTGAAAACATACAGATCTCGAATTCACAGTTTTACATTCATTCACCCTGCATGCACCCCACTTTTGGTACTGGTTTTCATGAAAACTTGTAAGGCAACTAACTACCTAGTGACCCAGTCTCAGATTGGTCGAATCCTGGATGGGACAATACAAAGTTCAGGGAACACTGAAGACTTACTTATTCGTTCTTACTTGTTTACTCAAGGGCAAGGCAAGGATGCTGTAGTTTTTTAAAGTGATGTGTTGCCTTTCTCGGGTCATGTGCCGCTGTGTTCATCGGACAGGAGAGGCTGTGGAGTATCATTCCTTTCTTACCTGAAGGGTTGGCCGGGAGCTTTGGTTTTGCATGCGGCAGTGGCCTTTGCTGGTTTTGAGAGAGCATACAGCCACAAACAGACAGGACAAGGATCGTTTGGATTTGGTATTGCTTACAGGCTTTACATGGTTGTATACACCTTAATTAATTACACTGGGGTCAACACCAACAACGCAAAACAGTTCTAGTGGTTCGTGCCTGAATTTGGGATCATTATATGTCAAACATAGGGTGTTGCTAGAGAACATTAGAGAACATATTTGTGCAGGCAGCTGGAAGCCAAGTGGAGTTACACCCTCTTCCGGCCAACCATTGAAACACGGTAATTAATGGGTTTGTTTCCATCTTAATCCATCCCTATTTGTGAATGATTCTTCCCACCCCATGGGCTGGCATTTCTTGGGAGATCGTCAAAGGTGTCAAATGCCAACAGTCAAAGGAGGGCTGGTCAACATGTTGTTTGGATTTCACTGAGGATGGCACGGGGTTTGCCAAAGCATAGATCTGGGACATTCATATTTGGAACTTCACCATCTATCATCTCACGTTCTAACAGCTACCTCCACTGTTGGACTATTTTTACAGATCCCCTGCACTTTGTGAGATCAAGACCATCTACTTTTGAAAGCAGTGACATACCCTAAACCCTATCCCCAAAGTTCCAAACCTGCATCCAGTGTGTTGACTTGGTTTCAAAACAACAAAACAACACTGGTCTTCACCGGGGGTTCCCCCAACCGCTGCTGGCAGCTCGGTTCGTGCGAGTGCGGCTGGTCGCTAAGCGCTAAGGTGGAACACCTGACCGGAACATCCTTTGAGGAGGTGAGCTTCGGCCCATCGAATGTGATAGGTTTTCGCTCGTGGGGTTCCATGGGTTTGCGCACTCTTCAAGTCTTCACTGACGGCGAAAAAATGGAGCATTCTGCACCGCCGGACACTCAAAAAGACAAGTATATCATGTAAGCATCGTGCTTTTTGATGCTCTTTGTTTTGTTTCTTCTTTGTGCTGGCCATCCCCGGCTTTCTGTTGCCTTCGGTGCCTTCGGTGCAGTCCACCGCCCCACCGCCGACCGGGCGAGGTTTGCTTCCAGCAATTCGATGCCTTAGACGTCGACCGCAGTGGCACGTTGGAGCCCATGGAGCTCCTTCCGGTGATCCAAGCCATCTGCCAGACGGAGGAGTGGCACGTGGGACGTGGGGGGTGTCGGATGGAGTCGCCAGAGTTCGTGGAGGGGTGTGGTGTTGGGAGATCTGAGAGTGTGTGTTTTATCTTTTGTTTCGCGTGGAGGCGAATGGAACCCTGTGGCGTGCTGAGCTTGTTCTTTTCGGTGGGGGGAGCAAAGTGTTTGGTGAGACGTTGACTTGTATCTTTCTCTGGAGGGAGCGGCATTGAGCTGCTGGGGAGTCGGGCATTGAGCTGCTTGGGTTCCAGACAAACCTCAAGATCTCTGAACTCGAGCCCTAAGCCGAGCAAAACCACACAAGTGGAAAGGTCGGAGTTCTCCAAACCTGACGATGCTGGTAGTGGTTCGGCCCATGGGTCGACCGGCCCATGGGTCGACCTCGCAGTCCCAGGATGAGTCGGTGATGAGTCGGCGATGAGTTAGAAAGGCATTGCCGGACTTATCCAAATAGAATCTTAGAACCGATGAAGAAACCCCCGCAGGACTGAAGAAGTATAACCACGAACCGGCCATGTTTTTCTTGTAAAACCATTCTGAGTCTGGTACGGTAATTCGGTGCTTTTGAATCAATCCATAATCAGCCTTAATACATGCGATTTCGACTCCTCCTCGTCGTTTCAGAATGCTTTGCCGTCGATCCTCCAGTGGCGGTACGCATGGACTGAGAATCAGTATGCTCCAACTCAAACATGAAAGTGGAAACTGAAACCTGGGAAGACTATTTGGGTATGCAGCTCAAATAGGGAGACCTCCCAGGCAACGACTCCCTGATTGGTAGGGAAAATTGACTAAAACCATCTAAAACCCATTGGTCCAGCGTGCCTCCCTATTGTTCCCTAAATTTAAATAGACACCATTTCCTCTATATACAGACAGGGTTGTTTCCACTTTGAACTGCCTTTGTGGCCGTTGGCAAGCTTGGCTGCTTGACTATTGCAGTATGCCCGCCACCATGTTAACCACCTTGAATTATACTCGCATGGCGGGTGGGTTTGGAACGCAAGATTGATTTCCTCGACTGGGGGCTTTATTGTGCATTTGTTGTGAACGGTGCTTCCAAAACCAATCCGAGCGGCTCTAATTAGTTGCTTATAGGCATGCGTTGGGTTGGTACTTTTGGCCGATTGCACCAGATTGATGCATGGAGGGAAGGGAGCCCATCTTGACGTAGAGACCACCTGCCAGCGGGCACCTGACTGGCAATCCAAAAAGCCGGTCGGGCACCTGTGGGAACGACCACGCGGAGCTATCACGCCGAGCGGAGGCTTTGCTCCGGCCCGAGCACGGTGGCACTAGCCGCTCCGCTCCTTTCATCGCTCCTTTCGGTGACAGGCTTTCAAGCTATTGGCTATATAAATATATATTATATACGTGAATATGAATATGAATATTATATACGTGACAGGCTTTCGCTACATCGCTACAGGCTTTCAAGCTATTGGCTATATAAATATAGCTATTGGCTATTCGCTACAGGCTTTGGCTATACGTGAATCGGTATTAAATTCATATTCTGCTGAGCACGTTCCTCAGATCGCCCGAGCGCCAGGAGCATTCCATGCCTTTGACAGAGGAGAAATGTCGCAGGCCTGGGCAGAGTGACTTCAAAGCACGCGGATAGAGAATCAAGCCTACATCAAGTGAAAGCAAGGTGCTGGGTGTTTAAGAACTTCAAGCTACTGATTATCCATCACCTTTCATCCGCCTGAGTGCATTTGTGTGGATGACTCTGCACTCATGGGGACGTGATGCTGTAAGGTCCGCAACGTACAAGATTTTGAGGGCTGGATCATCATCCAGCTTCATGTATGCAGCCCATCAGAAGTCTTGCAGGGTGAGGTAAAACGGAGCACTGAATCAAACAAGCATGCACATGTTCTGTTTTTGCTGATCACAAGGCAGGCAGTGGAGCGACAGGCACAAATCGATGTCCCAGCGACATGCCACAAATCTATTTCCCGTGCCAGGTTCACTTCGCTCTTCGACACGGACGGCAATGGCGTGATTCAGTCGGGGCGTCCCAAATAGGGGTTTTCCAGACGGTTTCACTTGTTGGGGGAGTCACTGGTCTCGATCCATTTCGGGGTCACTACTATGGAAAGATTTCTGCGTTTGATTGCTGTAGCTGCCCGTCTATAGCTGTTACTTTACCCAGCTTTAGCCGGCTTTCCCTGGCAACTTTGTCGGGGATCCTGATCGCTGTGTGGAAGTTCCAAGCTAAGCAATGAAGAGTTAATCCTGGGAGCGGTAGAAGCCACAAGTTTTCCATGTTGGCAGGCCGGAGGTTTGGAAGCACGCACTCCTTGGTCTCTTTGTGGATCTTTGTGGTTTTCCATCAGTTGAACATTGGAAGGGTTAGCAGAATTGACTGGAACATTTTGGTGCATCAAAACCGGGACCCCACACACCTTCAGTCCCGGGAGTGGGTTCGTCTCAACGGATCGGGACCGATCCGCCGATCCGGTCGAGGCATCACTGCTTCCACTGATGACAGCGACAGCTTCCACTGATTTCCATCTTCACAAGCTTTTTCAACCTTTCCCTCCTCTCCTGCCTCCATCCTCATTCCCACCCAACACAGACAGGAGCAGAGCAATTGAGCAATGAATCTTCTGAACGTGCCCAATGTGTACCCATGTGTACCCCACTCCCCACCGCGGCTTCCTTTTGTGCTGTGCGAAGTCCTGTCCATAGGCGTGATGAGTTCGTGGAGTTTGCACAATTCCTCACAGTGATGAACTTCCTGACCAACACCAAGGAAGGTCAGGAGGTGCGGTGCCCCAGGTGTTCACCCCGATCTGAAGTGGAAACACCCAAGGGACGTGTTCGATAAATCGGACCTGTCGGATTTAACAGAGGTCGAGACTGCTGTGCAAGAGTTCAATGAGATCACTGAGCGTTCTTGGAGTTGAGTTCATGGCTGTTGACATGTCTTTGAGCACCTCCGCTCCACTGGTATCTTGCCTCCGGATCGCATCAGCTGGGTGACCACTAAACAGCTTGGACAGTTGAAACACTACTTTAATCCACTTTCGTGGTTGAAGATGTTTGAAGTCAAGGGCCAGAGGCCGCCAGAGGCCCAGGGCCCATGCTGCGACAGGTTTGAGAGATTTTTCGCAGTCTTGTAAGATGTTTGAATTTTGTGCTCACAGTGCACACATATTTTCATAGTTTAATATTCTTCCTTATATGGTTTGATAGTATTTTCGAGATTTCCAGAAGTGTGGTGTGGGGCTGATATGATGGATGATGGAAGCTAGCTAGATTAGATGCATAGTTCCACGCACAAGACGAATACTCGTGCCAGCAATCCTTCTCCCCATGCTCATTTCTAGACTAGCATGTGCAATTTTTCTAGAAGAGCTCTAGCCTCTTTCTGTTCTTTGACCTTAGCCGGGCACGTGGCAGGTGAACCAGAAGGCAGAGCAGGCAGTCAAAGAATCCTTGACGTCTGATGGACTTTTGGAGATGCTGGAACAGGAGTTGCTCGTGCGTGCGCATGCGCATGCATGCGCCGAGATGGGAAATGGGTGTTCGGATTTGTGGTGGACCTTGGCCAGAAGAGAACATTGCCTATTTGACCAATTAGATTCACCAGATTTCTCGCAACTAACATTGCAGGGAGCAGCTTTTTCCCAGAGAAGGCACACAACTCAGGTCGACTTGCGCTTCTTTTGGGATCAATCGTACATTTGGCAGACACTGAGACAATTGAATATGAAGAATTAATGCAAATCAGCTAAGGGTGCCATGAACTGTAAAGAAGTACTCCACCAGGAACAAAATACAGGTGAAGGAGCAAAGGTACATTCGATTCGCGCTTTTGTGGCACCAGTCTGGATCATCGGTTCCAAAACGAATCCAAAGAACTGGCACCAGTCTGCAACGTAGAGGGTCGCCGGAGGGTCTTCTGTCTGATGAATTCCTCTTAGCAGAGGCCTGCGGCCTGCTTGGCAGGTTGCTTGGCAAAGGAGTGCATGGCATAGACATTTCTGGGAGGGTGCACCCAAATGCCACCCAAATGCCACTCCCACTTGGCATCAGTTTTGGATGGTCATCGGACTGGCTGTGGTAGGTGGTCGGGAGTGAAGCGTCCTCCGGCGCGGACGTCGAGTGGCTTCGGACCGGTGCTTCGGACCGGTGCTGAGCGGTCAGAGAGCCTAGCTTGGGAACGAAGCGATCCCTAGCGAGGGGAAACAGGGGGTGAATCATGAGCAAAAGCCTTCAGGATCCAGACTTGCTCTCAGAAGTCCTGCCACACCTGCCGAAACCATTGTACTGGGCCAGGCTCTTAGTTTGCTCTCAGCCTGGGCAGAAGCTTTTTTATAGGTCTGATCCAACTGGTCACTTGGGTGTGTTGGAAGAAGAAGTTGCTCAACCAGTTGGATGGGCAGTTTGCCTCCCTTCAGGGCATACCGATCCACCAGTCCATCAATTGGAACAGGCTGACTTCGTTGGTGGAAGATTTAAGTTCCGGAACTCTCGTTTGACAACAGGTGAACCCAGCCTGATACCACACCATACATTAGAGGGGGTCCAAACTCCTGAGTTGCTTTACTTCTTGTGGTTTGCACGATGCTTTCAGATCCATTTTCCAACTCCCAATCCATGTGCCACAAAGGTTTGAATTGGTGTCTCCTCGCACATAAAACACTCACCCAGTCAGCGGGTTTCTCCAGTGCTCTTATGACTCTGTGCCACCCAAAGCGTTGAAGCATCCCCTCGCGTCTTCCCACATGTTCTTTGGAGAAGCTGGTAGCGGTTCTCAGCGTTCAGGATGTGGAGCTCACAGAGACTTCCAGGATGATATATAATTCATTTTGAACATCACAGATTATCACAATAGTATAAACAACCAGATCTAAGTCTCGCAAATTTCCGATCTTTAATCAATGCCATTCACGTGAACCGGAGTCCCAGAGCAAATCAAATCCTGAAGGTAGATCCTCCCAGCGTTCGTTTCATTTCGTTTCCAGCGGCACGCTTTGGTCTCAGGAACTCACAAGCCTGGAATTCAACAAGGTCGGGTGTTGGGAGATCTGTCCCGTCTTGCCAAGCCCAAGCCCTTTCCAGCTGAAATGGACCCTTCCAGGACAAACAGAAACTGCGGATCCGTGCTGCAAAACCTGCGGGAAGAGACCCACATGGAACCGGGCTTGGCATGGACCTGAAAGGAAGACTAGGTGACTAGCTTGCTTCACAAACCAGTGGTTTTCAGGTTCCATGTCAGCCTCTTCCGTACCTTTTTTGAGCTGCACAGAACGGGGACGTCGGCCATCAGGGATGCGTTTTGTGGGTCAACCACTTATCAAACCATATCAGGCCCTGAGGAGCTGCACCTTAGGCGTTTTCGTTGCTAGCACCACTTGTCTCTTGTCGTTGCTTCATGGAGTAAGTCCACCAAAAGATGCGCTGTTCAGCACGTGGCAAAGCTGAAATGACTATGGAAAGTCTCCTTGACCACTCCTGCGAACATTTGGCACGAAACTGCGCCGCATTGGTCTTGTTCTTCAAACTCTTAAAGTGCAACAGTTGGCCAACCTCACCTCATGTTGCCAACCTCACCTGCGGCTGCCCGTGAAACAACTGCTGCGCGGAGGCTTGTATGGATGGATTTCAGGCGCTGGTCCAGTGGACTCCGGAGGACTCCATTGGACCGGTGGACTCCAAACGAGTCCTAGGGGACCCTTTTTTTCGGCTCGGCTCTTGATGCACGAAACCCCCCATAGATGAAGAAGTTGTTTAATCCCAAAGTTTTTCAACATATAATTCATGAAGAGTCTGAGAGTCTACATTAAGTAGTGGCAGTATAGGCGGTTAGTCACCCTTGGATGGCCTTTCTGCGTGGCACGAGTATCATGCCTCAATGTGGAGCTTGGGAAACAAGACTGGAATCCTTGGTACTGGTCCAGCACTAGCACCCTACACCTCACTCAGGAGATACATATTTTGTGAGTTCGCAGATGTGAGTTGCCTTTCCCAGTTAGCTTTCGTCCAGGGCCCATCAGACCGAGATCTGAGGGGGTTCGAGTCTATTGACTTCAACGAGCAACATCTCGTTGGTGCATGTTGGTGCATCCAATGAGCTCCATTCTGGGCCACCACCAACCCAGAAATTCACAAGCTATTCACAGGCCTCATGCCGCTTCTTGGATCTGGGGCCCTTCCATACGAGTGTGAGTAAGCAAAAAAGTAACTGACAACCTCCTTTACCTCTTCCCTTTTCTGTGTTGGTCAAGCTTTACAGTGAATGTTCATCACAAGTGTTCCACAAATCACATGGATCTTTAGGGAACATCAAATCACATGTTGTTGTTTTCGCAAGCACGCTGGTGGTTGTTCCACATGGGCGCCGTGGTGGAACACCACTCGATGGTTCGGTCCACGAGGGGATCCGCAACCACGTGAACCGCCACCAACCGGCATTAAGAGAGACCCCGGAACTGGTGGGACGTCGTGGTGTGCAGGAGTTCCTCCAACTTTGTTTTAATGTTTGGCCACGGTTTCCGCCTGGTTTCCCGAAAACATCAGCTATGAATTTTAAAAGAAATTAACCACTTTGGTAGATCTCCAAGGAATCGTCAGCACACCGTCGAAAACAGATAAAAGTGGAACCGCCAAAACTCGAACAGCTGACCCAGAGACATGTCACGCCCACCAGAGCGATCACCTTCAACCGCTCATCCCGTTTGGTTTCCTACCCTGGAACAGTGGATAAGCTTCAACTTTTTGGAACTTACCGTGGAACCTGTGAGTTTGCGGTATGATCACAACACGTGATCGGATTGGCAGAACCGGTGGAAAAAGGTTAGTAGCCAGAAGCTACGAACGTAGCTGGCATTACTAGAAACTAAGAAGCTATACGGACGTAACAAGCTTTAAGTGCATCGCTACGGACGTAGCAAGGGCATCGCTATTAACCTTTCTTTTCCAGGACAACAGCTCGGTGGCTCCGTCGGCTCCGCCGTCCGACCGGAGGCAGCTGCAGGGGATCACAGCGACCTGTCCTCACGAGTGGCGCCGGGGATGTTGACGCCGGCCCCAGCCCAAGGGGGACCAGTCCAACAAGACCGGTCGCAGTCCAGCGACGTCCAGCGACGAGGGCTGAGGCCGAAAAACATCGGTTTTGCAGGAGTTGAGCTAAGAATAGCTCAGAATTCTGAGGGTGGGGAGTGGGAAGGTACAATGGGAGAGAATGGTTGCTTGTAGCTTGAGCCTTCATCAGGTCATCTACCAGCTCATGCAGGCGCCCGTTCGAGTCCGCCTTTCGTGTCATCCTCACATCGACAAAACACGGCAGATTCGAAGAACACTGATGATGTTCAATGGCTGAACACTGATGATGTTCAATGGAGAAGGCACTGAGGTTCATCAGAACGTGGATCGAAGCATGGCTTTCTTTGTTTCATGATCCTTCCCCACCAAGAACCATATGGATCGATTCGCGGCGGAACGGACGAGTCGTGGCGACCGCCCGAGGAGTCGACGAGTCGACGTCCGCTGGGTTGGTTCGGAGCCCGCTGACGTCGGTGAGGCGCACCCCTTCCAGATCTCTGAGGAGCAGTGCAACCACTTCATCAGCCGATGGGTGCGCCAGAGCCAAACGGAGCTGCTACGGCCGATGTTTGTGTCGCGAAAAAAATCGGCAGAGGATGTCGGTCTGGGGGAGTGTCAATAAGGAGGTGGGAAGAGGTGAGACATGGGAGGTTGGGTGTGGGGGAGAGTTGGAGCAAGTTGTAGAGACTTGGGAGAGAACTTGGCCGACAACAACCTGAATTGTGCATGTGGTCACTGACGCTTCAATCCTGAGGCTGGGGGCTGGTAGTAAATGAGGGGCTTGTAAGGCTTAGCAAGGCAGGAAGGATGGTTTCACATGACATGGCTTTAATGGGGTGAATTAGGGAAGCACATTGGACATGACACGAGCCACTTGCAACACCCTGATTGATACAGCCATGACATAAACAGTTCATAGTCATCGCAACATTCATCAGAGATAGCGCTGCACAAGGCAGTTTCATTTCTCCTGCCTTGCCCAGGTGGGTGGCATGGAATGTCCATGTTTGATTGTTTGATGCTAGACGCCATACCTACCCAGGTGGGTGGCATGGCATATAGCGCAATAGGCCCAGCAGCTCAAGCTTTGGAAAGGACTTGGTGACGGGTGGTGGTCTTCCGGTCTCCTCGGGGACCACAGTGGTCCCTTGCCTTAGCTTGGTCACGGCTCCAACGGCCCACCGCTGTCTATGTCCCGCCAGGACAAGGATTTGAGGAATGCGGTGACGCCAGGGGAACCTGGTGACAGTGACCAGAGTGCGAGGGAGCTAACCTGGAGTGGAAGATCTCTGCTTCTGAACCTGAAGCGCCCGATTTTTTGGCACGATGAAGACTGATTCCCTCTACTAGCTGGCCTCTACTAGCTGACTCACATGGAAGTGTATGCACGGTCTCGAAAGGAACACATTTGGGAATCAACTCCACT